CAGTCTCAGAGTGGTGGAGCTATGATTCTCATAAGCTCTCCCACCTTGAAGGCTGCAATGACTACTTCTCAAGTGACTTCGTCTGTACTTGGTTTTTCTCTATTGGCAAAACTGTAATCCATTTCATTCACGGCTCAATGAACCTATTTTACTTGTGCCTTTTGTCCAAAGCTAATTTATTATTTGTGTAGGTGTAAAACTCTGTCTTAACTATAGTGTAAGTAAATGGAATTATTTGGCTTTCACAAGTAAATTTATAATTTTTTCCTCAAGGAGCTAGCTCAGTCATGACTTTAATACACTCACATGTAACACAGAGGTTTACTTGTAGAGTCAGCTTCAGCAAGACAGTCCCTGGACACACCACGGGGAAGGTACGAATTGTTTTAACCTGCTGATTATTAGCCATACCACCAGAAGCCATGAGAATGTATAGATAAAATTTGCTGGACATTTGCTGTTACCAAATTTCTAGTGCTATTATTTACAGGAATAATTACATAAACAGGAAATGGCCCAAAGCTGTTCCCCTTAGAGCCTGATTTTCGCCCAATTGTCAATGCAGCAATTATTGTATCTTTTATTTTTTAAGGTGAAGGAACACATTCTAGAGGCGTTTTTTTTAAAGAAAGTTTTAAAAACAGTTTAAAACTGCTTTTCCTTAAAAGAGATTTTTTTTTTTAAGTCAAAACATCTTCAGATCCTGAGGAAAAGCAATGCAGCGGAAACCATCTGATTCCAAGGCCAAGTGTATCAGAGAGCAGTCAGCACTGAATTCAGGCATTCTTGCTGCACTCAGCAGACTTGGCTCGGCAATCAAAACCATTTGATTGTAAAGCTGATACTCCTATAACCAGGCAGGTTCCAGCACATTGTGAGCTCTGAAAAAGCATAATTATAAACAAAGAATGACAAGAAGCACACATTGACTTAAAATATCTCATTTCTTTCAAAGAGCGCACAGCTTTTCACACCTGTCCTTAGAAAACTCTTGATTGGTAGGTGTGCTAGCATAGGGCACAAGTTCAGGGGCCGGGCCAAGGCCATGGGTTGTCACTGGCTCACCGTGATCCCTCTATAGAATGAACGGGATTGCTTCATTCCGTATATCTGAGGACTGACTATGTATGAGGGCTGGAATACAAACATCTCACCTCTGACCTGGAGGGATCTGTAATCTAGACAGGGCAGTGTGGAGGTGAGCACATCACTCCTCATTGGCAAACTGCCATGCCATCTTTTTCACATGCTGAGAACAACAGCTAGTCTTCCTCAGGGAGTGTGGAAACCCTTCACCAGTTCAGGCTGTGTGCAGAATGCGAGAGGGATATCACCATCTTTTATGTTGTCTGTATTATTTTTCTGTTGCTGTGGAATGAATTACCACAAACTTCGTGGCAGCGAACAATACAAATTTCCAATCTTGTGGTTTCTGTAGGTTAGGAATCCGGGTATGGGTTAGCTGGGTTCTCTGATCAAGGTCTCACCAGACTGAAATCAAGGTGTCAGTCAGGAAGGCAGTTCTTACCTGGGGCTCAACGGTATCTTCCAGGCTCATTGGCTGTTCGCAGAATTTGTTTTCTTTAAGCTTGTCTCTCTACACTTGACTTTCTTTTCGGCAGGGGTGGGGGTGGGGAGTAGGGTGTCTCATTCTCCTGATTAGGTCAGGCCCACCAAGGATATTTTTTCCTTTTAAAGAACTTGGAGTAAACTGATCAGTAACCTGATCCTGGGAGTAGTATCCCACCATATTCACAGGTCTTGCCCACACTCAAAAGGAGATTAGGCAAGGCATGCACAGAAGGGCATGGGAGTCTTGGGGGCTGTTTTAACATCCTGCCTTCTGCAGTGTTCTCTCTTGGTTCATTTCCACTTTACTCTGTTTGCTGCCTTGGCCTGTGGCATTAAGTAGCCCAGTCTTCATAATGAACCTACCCCTTCCCCTCCATCACCAAAAACAGAACAATATTCTATAAGAGGAATTAGTCACCAACAGAGTTTCAGATAATGCAGCCCTTGCTTTTGTATTATCAACACTTAACATAGTGTCTGGCACTTAGGACTAAGTTCCCAATTTATGTTTCCCAATAAATGAATGTGTGAATGATTAAATGAGAAACATTTTGGGCATCCTCATCAGATTACATCCTATAAAAAATTCCTAAACCTCATGTGCAGGACTGACTCCTTTATATCACTTTCCCCCTGATTTAGGAGCAATACATGCTTATTATAAAACTCTTGGGGAGGGCAGCCCGGGTGGCTTAGTGGTTTAGCGCCACCTTCAGCTCAGGGCGTGATCCCGGAGACCCTGGATCAAATGCCACATTGGGCTCCCTGCATGGAGCCTGCTTCTCCCTCTGCCTGTGTCTCTGCCTCTCTCTCTCTGTGTGTCTATCATGAATAAATAAATAAAATCTTAAAAAAAAAACAAACTCTTGGGAACTTTTCTTCCTCCTATGATTCTATTTTTTATATTTAACTTTTTAATCCATCTGGAACTAATTTCCCAACATGATGTTTAAAATATTCCATCCCCCACCCAATTAGGCTGTAATGTTTTTATATGTGTGTGTACATTCTAAGTTCTTGTTTATAGTAAGCTCTCTTTTTGAGCTAATTGTTCTATATCATTGATCTGCCCGTTTAATTTGTGTGCCAGTATTACCTATTTTAATGATTAGAATGTTATAATACGTTCTAAGACCCAGTAGGGCAAGTGTCACTGAATTATCCCTTTGGACTTCTCTCTCAACCAGGTCATGAATCAAAGGTCTGTCTTGCGGCTGCTCCAGCAATTTAGGTAGCCCAGCCTTATTTGGTAAGGTCTGGACATAGAGCCAGATCTAGGTTCATATTCTACCTCTGTGTCTTCCTAGCTCAACTCCAGCTCACTGTCCCAGTGAGCAGCAAACCTATAATAATAGCACCCATGTAACAAATTTACTGTGAGAATAAACTGGGACAGCTTCTAAGAATCACCCAGCACATGGTAGGTGGTCAGTGCCTCCTGGCTGGAGTGGAGGAGTGATTCTGAAGGTGCAGATGCTCATGCTTCTGTCCTTTCATCCTTATGAGCAGGGACCATAACCTGTTTGAAAGCACAAATACTGAGCCTGGGGTCTTCAGGCTCAGGCCAGCCTTTGGGCTGGGAGTATCCAGGGTTAATACTTGGCCCCACCTCCGGGCAGCTTCTTCAGAACTCATACTGGTCCAAGGGAAGTCTGGTGTTTTTGTTGAACTGGAGCCATTTCAGAGCACACAGGGGGCTCTAGAAGGGGGTGTGACTCAAACTCTGAAGCTCATTTGGCCTGCCCGTACAGGACCCTGGAAGTGCCAGAGAATTAATACCCCTTGATTCCTCTGCAGGTAGCCTATCTTTGGTTTTGGCAGCCAGAGAAAGTCCTCAAAGCCACAAGTGACAGGCACTGGGGGTTGGAAGTCTTTCTAGCACATTTTAGCACTGCAGTGGTGTTGGTGAGGGCAGATAGGTGAGACGCTGACAGCACGTGCAGTTAAAGATCAAAGGAGTGGATGCAGTTGTAAGGACCCCCCCCCCAGAGTATTGAATGAGTCCCCTATATCTGCCTAAAGATTTATATATAGATGGCTCGTTCTTCTTAGGCACAGTGCAGACACACTGGGAATCAAAGGCCTGTGAGGAGTCACTAGGCAGCCAAGAATTTTGCAGGCCAGAATCTTCTTTCTTGGCACCTTCCCCTCTACTCTGAGAATATGGGATATACTCATTCACTGCTTCAAGAAGGGTCTCAGGAGCTAGGATAGAAGGCCACACAGCCCTGCCATCAGGGAGTTTCCAGGTGGCACGCAGAGACAGAACTACCAGGATTGTGCATACACGGGTCTGCTCTCTGATGATGGCCATAGGCGATCTGACTTCCCATTCTTTTTTTTTTAAGATTTTATTTATTTATTCATGAGACACACACACACACACACACACACACACAGAGGCAGAGACATAGGCATAGAGAGAAGCAGGCTCCATGCAGGGAGCCCGATGTGGGACTCAGTCCCAGGTCTCCAGGATCACGCCCTGGGCCAAAGGCAGGCGCCCAACCGCTGAGCCACCCGGGGCGTCCCTGACTTCCCATTCTAACTCCATTCCTGCCTGACCTTCTGTAAAAGAAGGGATCAGATATTGGAAGCTGGAAGGATTCTTAGATAGGACGTAGTCAAGCCTCTTTGTTTCATAAGAGAAAACGAAACCCGGAGAAGGGATGTGATTTGCTTGAGTTTGCTCAGCTTCATGGCAGCGATGGGACTTCTAGGTCCCACAATCTGCCACCTGAGAAGTGGGGTCATGTTCCCCTTCCCTCAGGCTTCTAGAGGCAGTGCTCACCTCCGTGGGGCTATTACTGATAGATACAGAGTGAACACTTTGGGGGAGGAAGACAGAAGCAGCAGATGGCACGGAGTCCACATAGGAGAGAGGTAGAAGCAATCTACCCTAAAGGTTGGTCAGATGACCAGAGTTCAAAATTCTGGTTTCTTCACCTAAAAGCTGCATGAACTTCAGCAACTCTTCTTCCCCTTCCTAAACCCCACCTTCACATCTGTAAAATGGTGACAGTGGTGTTTCCTCTAGGATTGTTTTAAGAATGGAAGGGAACGCACATCAAGCACCCTGCTGGGGGCCTGCGCCGGGGCGCTGTCCGCATCAGCACCTCCCGGAGCGCGCCCGGGCCACCCATGTCGGAGGCACACGGGCCGCGGGGTCGAGACCAGGGCGTCCCACTGACACGTGCCTGTTGGACTTTTCTCGTTCCAGGAGCCCTGGAGGAGAGGCACAGAGGCGGAGAGCGTGGCGAGAGAATGAAGACACCAACCGGCCGGGAGAAGCATGAGGTGGCAGTGCGGCACTCGGCTTAGAGGGCTCGGGCGGGCGGCGGCCCCATGGGCAACCCTGCTGGCGCTCGGCCTCCCGGGCTGGGTGCTGGCGGTCTCGGCCACGGCCGCCGCGGCGCCCCCCGAGCAGCATGCCCCCCCCGCCGGCCAGCCGCCCCTGGACTGGCTGCTCACCGACCGCGGCCCCTTCCACCGCGCCCAGGAGTACGCTGACTTCATGGAGCGCTACCGGCAGGGTTTCACCACCAGGTACAGGATCTACAGGTGAGCGCAGCGGGGGGCTTCCCCGGGGGTGGAGGGCCCAGCCGGCTCCCAGAGCGCCCAGGCCCAACCAGAAGAGAACAGGTGGGGCAGCGGCCCGGCAGGGATAACCAGCCTACCGTGTTGGTTTAAAAAAAGAGAGAGAGAGAGAGAGAGAGAGAGAGAGAGAGAAAATACATACAAGCTGGAAAACCTGCTGATGCCTCCTGGGGAACTTAGCAAAAGGGTTTCTATTTATAGGTTGTGCTGCTTATAAATTGAGGACAAATCAGGCGGCTTGGAGTCAGCGTGTGGCCTGCGCTGCTGCAGGAGGTCAGAGTCAAACGCTGGGGCCGGGTTTTAACTAATGGGTTTAGATACCTTTATGAGTTGTAATTACCTAGACATGCAAATGAAGGAAGGGCAGCTCCAGCTCCTGCTGAATGGTGGTCTGGGGAGACCTTTCCCGTCAGGGGCACGCCTGCACTGCCCCTCATCCCCACCACCGCCTCCGCTGACCTTGCCCATGGCAAAGGGCTGTACCTTCTTGGCCCTTTAGACCTATCCTTGGGAGCATCAGAGCTGAAAGTCAGACATGAGACTGGCCAGGGCCATCTGATGAGGGATGAACCAGGAACATATTCCAGGCTGCTGGGCCAGTACTTCAAAAGGAGAGGGTTTCTCGAAATCCTCACCTCCAGTGACCCAGTGAGCCTCAGGGCTCCCAGGAGTGCATCTCTGAATAAAAACTTCCCCTTCATCCCTCTGCCCACTCGCCCTGTTGTCATGGCTCTTGTGTCCTCTTCACCTTGCCCGTGGTCTTCAGACAACCCTGGGAGCTTTGCTGAAAATTTTTCCTTTTATCAAAGACATTTATTTTCCAATTACAAATGAGTTTCTAATGCAACAAAAAGAGAGAAAATACAAAAAAAAAAAGCACAAAAAGAAACAAAACCAGAAAAATCACCTGTTACTTTAGCAACTAGAGGTTGATACTGTTAACCTTTTGGCACATGCATTTCTAGTCATATGAGCATACTGGAGTTTCTGGCCCTCTTGCTGGATCTAGCACTTTACATGCCTTATACACACTGGCTCATTTAATCCTTACAACAAGCCTATGTTGGAAGAACAATTATTATTCTCTTTTTACAGATGAGTTCAATGACATCCAGAGAAGTTAAGTAAATTGCCGAAGCCCACACAGCTATTAAAGGGTGGAGGAAGGATTAGCTTCCAAGTAGTTCTTCCAAGTAGTTCTGAGTTCTTAAAATATATTTGGAGACATTTTGTTGTTGTTTCTGAGAGCTTTTTTTTAAACTTCTGCAATAAACATGCAGTCTATTTAGGCTATTATAGGGTATCAGAAATAAGGTCTTAGGGTATTCATCACTAGAAGACCCCCTAATGGGAAGAGAAGCCATTTACAGGCTGTTCTCCTGGTACATGATTCCCACACATGGATGCAGATAAAGGACAAGATGAGATGTTTGAGAGTCTGGCACACCTCATGGGTGCAGACATATATAGGGATAAAATCCTGCTCTCAGGAGCAACTGCCCAGCTTTCCTTTCAAACCATTTCTCTTCTGCTGTGCTTGAGTCCAGTCTGGTCTTGGAGAGATTGCAGTTCGCACCCTGCTTCAGGGGCTCTAGTCTTTGCCATCCTCTAAAGACTACGGAAGAAATTCTCTTGGGCCACTGAGGCAGCATGCAGGCAACCCAGGCTGGGAGAGGCAGAGTTAGCTCAATTGAAGCTAAGTGAGCAGAAGAGATTGACTCGACTTTCAGTAAATATATAAGAAACTGGACCTGTACCCCCCCACACACACAAATTTCTTATAAGGTAAATTCAAAATGATGCTTCTCTTTATTAAACAATTTCTTTTCCCATCATGAGAGAGAGACAAAGAGAGAAAAAGAGAGAAAATCCACCCTAGCATATATTTAAGCTGCAAATCCCTCTGGTCCAGGAAAACCAGATTTAATTTACCTTAGACCTTTTCAGTTCATCCCAATCTTTGAGAAGCATGATCATCACCAAATATATACATATATATTTTAAGTATATTGGAACTAAAATGTCAGGCCCGGGATCCCAACGCCACCATCCACTCAAAGGGCTATAGAAACTAAAGGGAATAAATCATCACTTTTCTTCTCCCTCAATAGATTTTTCTCCTTATGGAGACCCAGCCCTAAGCCTGGCAGCCACTGAATGCCTGGGCGGCAGCTCAGAGCTGGCCCATGGGGAGTGTCTGTAATCACTTCTGCACCATCAACTGTTCTATCAGTTGGTAATGGTTTTCTGATCATTTAATGTGACAAGCTCTTACACTGTGCCATTCTGTTTCTCTGGGGTCAGTTATTGCACATGAACCTGTACTTGGGGAAACAGTAACCAGTCATTCTGACAGGAATGCAGCGTTCTGATGTGTGACCCTTTGGTGGGGCGAAGAGAGAGTGGTCACACACGGCTGCTCCAGGAGCATTCTGGGAGTTTTGCCTTTAGTTATTAAGCAAAATGGTGGGTCCATGGATATTGATGTAGGGCTCTATATTACCCCTGTGGGAATTCATTTATATCCCATCCTCTTCTGTCTCTAGCGGCAATTCTCTCTGGCAACTTCAAGACCTTGCTTGCTCAGATGAAAGTGGTCACAGACAACTGGTAAAATATACATTGAAGGTCATCCCCAATGACCAGAGGGCATTTGTTCTGGAAGGCCACAGGGAGGAAAAGCTTACACAGAACATCAACTCTGGATTTCAGACAGCATTTGTCTTTCACTTGTTTCTTTAAGAGAGCTTTCTGAACATAGAAATCAGATGGTATCCACATGTGCCTTCCGTAGAGGAAAAGAGGTGAACTGCGGTGAGGGAAGATTAAGATTTCCCAGTGGGTCTAGAATATGTGGTGCAGAAGCACATGAAGGTCTCTCACACAGCAGGAGAGGGGCTCTCCTCTTCTTGTGTGTGAACAGGTCATAACTAGCATATAGCAAGGTTCTAAGGTTAAGCTCTGAATCCCACCTATCAGAATGTGCTCTTACTTTGGGAAGATGATTGGTTGTTCTAGAGTAGCTTTGGCCTCCAACTGCGGGCCCCTGGAGATTGCTGCTCTGTTGATGTCCATGTCAAGTTTGTGCTGAAACTTCAGTGTGCTTTAGAGTGAAGCTTCTGGAGCCTAATGACCTGAATTCTAATCCTGGAGCTGCAGCTTACTAGCTGTATATTGTTGGACAAATTACTTAATTGCTGTGTTCTCCAATGCCCTTGTTTGTAAAATCAGGAAAATAATAATTGCTTACCTAATGGATTGATGTGAAAATTAAATTAGTGAATTGATGTTAAGCACCTAGAACAGTGTTTAATAAATAATAACTATTATTGGATTGTCCTCAACAAATATTAGCCAATGAAAGAGTGGTATTGAGATGAGAACCATGGGTGCTACCTTTGTGATAATGTCCGCTGAGGGGCTTCACATCGACAGACTACATGGCAAGGAGAAAAAAAATCATTCTTTTGCTTTCCTTTTCAAAGCACCTTTACCTCTCAATCTGTCTCTTTTTGGGAGAGAAAGCTAACCAAAGGATAAATGAATTCTCTCTGGCACACACTTACTGGTCACTACAGGTAAAAATCTTTCTCCTAAATTCAAGGATTGCTAACTGAGCAAGCCTTCTTTGGACATACTCCAGAAGCCAGTCACTGCCTGCTTCCTGTCTTTGGGGATGAAATGAACAATCTCAGGATGGCATTGTTGTGAGAAGAAAGACAACATGCACTCTTGTTAAGCCTTCCTAAATAACAGGATGGGCTTGACTATCTTACTCAACTTCCAGCGAGTTTTTAAATCCCATTAACCCATCTCTCACCGTGTCCTCAAGCCCTGGTGGCCAAGATCTGAACAATCAGCCCACTTCTCAGACTTTGTCTCTTAACAGCCTAGTTGTAAGAGCTATAAGAACAGAGATCTTGTCTCTGATTCCATTCGTGACCTCAATGCCCTCTCCCTTGTTTGACTCCATAGCCCACACCGGGACAGACACTTAAGTGCTCACCTCTCACAGCAGTGCCGTGAGGCAGGTGGGGGCTCTTAAGATCCAAGGCAATGAGATTGACTTGGTCAAGGTCGGAGAGGTAGCCACTCACAGCCAGAAATAGCACTCCGGGCTCCTGACTTCAGGTCTCCTGCTCATTACTCTAGACCATGCCACTTCCCTCTGACTGGTAAGTGCATCTTCATCATACCACGCAACCTAATCAGGCACCTAAATTGAACTGATGCAAATGTAAATATGGTTTCTCGAAACACTCTAGCGGTAATGTTCCATTCTCTCCTTGCTACAAATCAAAGTAATGAGCAGTCTGTTTTTTTTATTTCTTTTTGTATTAAAGCTTTAATAGAGAGATAATCATGGTATTGGAAAAAATCCAAGCCACTATGATGAAACGCTTGAAACTCGGAAAGAATAAATTAAAATTAAGAGAGAAAAGTTAGAAATCATACAGAACAATGAGCATAATATGGTGGTTAGGAGAAAAGCAGAGTTAGGTATAATTTCAAATTATTACCCCCATTTCTATCTGCTTCTTTTTTAGAAAGGAAGGGTCTGGGGATGCATTAGAAGCCTTTTGGGAGGAAAACAAACCAAAAGAGAAATTAAATAGGTATGTTCCTTGACAAAAAAGGACATTATATTTTGATCATATTTTGGGAAAATTTTGAGAACCAAAGTAGGACAAAACTGAAAAACAAGGGGCTGGAGTGATACCCAAAAGTATGTAGATTGAGGCAGCAACGTGTTTTAGCAAGTGCATCTGGAAACATCCAATAGGGCGAGCAGGTATAGAGTCCGGTGATGTGGTGAATGAGGGCAGTTAGGGCAAAAGGACCTTTCAGTACGCCCCAGGCAATAACCCTCTGAAAAAAACAGTCTTTGTGCAGTTCATCAAGATTGGGTAATAGCTCACATTTGAGCTAAGCGAGAAATGGGAACAACCAAATATTTGACCCATACTACTCCAAGTGTGGTTGTGTATCAGTGGCATCGGTGTTCCTTGAGAGCTCTAAATCATTACCGGACCCAGTACCTCACCCCAGACCTACAGAGCATTTTAACAAGAGCCCCAGATGAACGGTGGGACACGAAAGCTTGAGAAGTACTCTACTCGATTACCCTAAGTGTTGGGAGGTAGAGAGGAGAGCAGGATTGACCAGGGAGGAGAAAGATGGAAGGAAGGCATCCCCCAGGATGCATCTGAGATCACGGGAATATTTACAGGAGATGTTACAAATGAAATTAGAATAGTCGTCAAGGGAGGTGAAATTCAGGAGTTACTAGCATCAAGGCACGTGAACTCATAAGGATAGATCCAGCAGCTGGGAGAAAAGTTTAAAAGCAGAAAAGGCTGGAGGGCCTAGAACCAGCCTGTGGGTGCCTCCGGGGAGATAGAGAGGTGAGGAATCGAAGAGCAGCTGTGGAAGCAATCACACAGGAGGAGCTCCAGAGCTGATTTAGCATCCGGACCACGTCTCACGGACTAACAAATACTGATTTGGATAAACAGTGAACCCTGGGAGAGGCACCATCTCCAATTAAGAGATCACAATCCACATAAATAAACGACAACCAAAGGCAACCTGAGTCTGCCTGGTAAATCCCAGTGATTTCCTAGGCGTGCAGTACAGCAACTGAGGTCGAGGAAGGGTGTGCTATCACGCAGCTGCAGGGCACCACAGCAGGGGCTGTGGTTCTCAGGGGGGTGGGACAGGCAGGAGGAAGATGAGCTCTTCTGGAGAAATGGCCTCACCCAAGTGAATTGGTTGATCTCTGAACTTCTCACTGGATCTGTATTTCGACAACAAGGGAGTTTGTCGGGCTAGAAGGGGAAAATGAATGGTGTAAAAAAAAAAAAAGAAATTAGAGCAAAATTAGAGGCAAGGTGGCAATGATGAGGTTGCAGTTCTGGTCACAGGCAGTATTTCTCTGTCCACAGGTGAGAAGGTAGGAGAGGGACAGAACAACATGTTGAGAATTTAATCAAGAGTTTGGTGCTAGTTAAATGCACAGCACCTCTGACATATAATATCTAATCTAGGCTATGGGCCCAGCATAAGATCTTCACCCAAAGAATTTCATTTTAGAAATGTCTGGAAGGCCCTTGAATGGTGCCTTGACTTGCCTAGTCTCATCCTTATGTAGAATCCTGTCTCCATCTCTGACATAGAAATACACAATGCAACAGACCCCTATGAAGCTTCCCATTATGTAAAAATAACTGAATGAGAAAGTGTTCTGCTCTCTTAGAACAAGAAGAAATAACACATAAACAAACAATTGCAGTGTAAGAGCATAAACAGAGCAATATTCATTCAACTAGCTTTTTTTTTTAAAAAAAGGTTTTATTTATTTATTCATGAGAGGCACAGAGGCAGAAACATAGGCAAAGGGAGAAGCAGGCTCCCTGCGGGGAGCCCAATGAGGGACTCAATCCCAGAACTGCAGGATCAGGACCTGAGCCAAAGGCAGACACTCAACCACTGAGCCACCCAGGTGTCCCATTCAACCAGCATTTTTGAGGGCCAACTCTTTGGTTATGCTTCTACAAGAGTCTGATAAAAGCCAGGAACAAGGAAGTCACAGTCCTTGATCTGATGGAACTTGCAGATAAATACATTTGGAGATCTCTGTACAGAAAGGTCAAGGAAGGCTGGAATCAAAGGGGAAGAATAGATGAGACCCTGATGGATGAGTAGAAAGTGTCCAATTGAAGATCTGGGGAATGGTGTGGTAGCCACAGGGATGGGAGCACACTGAGCAGCCAACCCCTTGTGTTTAATGTAAATGTCAAGAAACACATGACCTAGGGGATCCCTGGGTTGCTCAGTGGTTTAGCACCTGCCTTCAGCCCAGGGCATGTTTGTGGAGTCCCAGGACCGAGTCCCACGTCAGGCTCCCTGCGTGGAGCCTGCTTCTCCCTCTGCCTGTGTCTCTGTGCCTCTCTCTCTCTCTCTCTCTCTCTCTCTCTCTTTCTCTTTCTCTTTGTCTCTCATGAATAAATAAAAATGCATATTTTTTAAAAAAGTGAAACACATGACCCTGTCTGTCCTTCAGCTGCTCTGTCCCACTGTGTCATTTCTGCTATACCTTGACCCTCCAAAATCCCAAAAGGGCCCCTTAGACACTGCTTTCTGCCAAGGTACAGTCTCAAAACACTCTCACCTGGAGGGGCATGTCATTTTCCTATGTTAACGATGAGTAGAATGAAGCAAAAATAATTGTGTATCTGGTAAAGGTAGAGCCAAAGGCAATTCCTTCTGTTTCTACCTGAAAAAAATGGGATGTGAACTTTTGGCTGGTGAGAAAATGGTACTCGGTGCTGTAAGGCCCAAGAAAGTCACTGGTTCATCTGAAAATCCAGCACCTTTTATGCTTAAAAAATCAGATACAGGGTAGACTTAGCACACTGTGTATTTGCTCACTTGGTCCTCTTACAGGTATTTGTGGAGCGTCTCCTTTATGCATAGCATGATTCTGGGCACTACAGCAAACTAAAAAGGGAGAAAACAGGCTTCTGCAGGTTTCTGGGAGCTCAGCAGTCCAGTTTGAGTGACAGTCCACATCCTGGAAAACACATGGGAATGTAGCATCTCAAAGGCTG